CAACGGATAATGATGCATCGAATTTCGAAGATGACCCAACTACAGTAGTTGTATGCTTTGATTTACAAAAGACGCTCCCAACTCCTAGTTTAACCTGCAAAAAAGCATACTACAGCCAACTTTGGTTTTAAAATTTTTGTATGCACAATGTTTGCACTGGACAGACACAGATGTTTTTGTGGCATGAAGGCCAAGATAATTGTGGTTGCAACGGAATTGCTTCCTACCTTTGAAAATACATACATCCAGACGCTGCCACCAACCGCTAAGCGCATAATTCTGCACAGTGACAACTGTGGTAGCCAAAACAAAAGTCATTATATTGCAAAGTTTTGGCATTATGTAGTCCGAAAGACACAAAATGATACTGTTGACTACAGGTTTCTGGTAGTGGAAGATCTCGGGATTATCGAAAAAGCAAAAACAGAAACCATCAGCAGGTTTATGTACCAAGTATGTGGCCCGACATCATAGTGAAATGTAGTAGGAAGTTCATGGTGACGCAAATGGAGAATAATGACTTTGTGTCTTTAGATTCACTAGAACTTCACTTTAGGAAAAATGTTCCAGGTATCAGTAAAATGCAACGTATGCATTTTGAGAAAGCATATCCATACATACTGTTTTACACAGAAAGCGTCAACCTTCCTATCTTTTACCATCGATCTCTCAATGAACTCCCGTTATTAGCAGCAACAGGAGAAAAGTTAAAAATCAAGAAACTTAAATTTGACAACTTACAGCCACTTTTGTCATGCGTTCCTCCTATCTACCACGACTTCTTCAACAGCTTACAATGCGCTAATCGGCCTAACAATGTTCCTGTCGAAGTTAACCAGAATGCTATTATTCCCCCAGATGCCGAAGAGCCAGGAAACATTTTTGATAGCGAGTCAGAAAGTGATTGGTTATACTTCATAAATGATAGTATTAAACTGATTTAAACAATTTCGTAATTTATTCTGTTAATGATTTTGTGTTAAATCACAGTTGTATTTTTTACTAAATCCAAATTTTCATATACAAAACAAATCCAAAGGGTTCAGTCAATATCTGGTTCTTTTGTGGGAAGCCAAGGGGTACAAAAGTGATCACTCTTATCATCTTTTTAAGGATTGTAAAATAAGGGCAAAAAGACAAAATCTAAAATATGTCACCAAATTTGGCGACATTCGAAATAAACTCCAATCGTATCATACAATTCTGCATTTGATATACTTATCACGGATTATTAGTACTCATAATTAATTACTAATATTACCAATACTAATATCTATTGAAAAAAGTGCAATCTTCAATTCGGATTATAACACTTTCGAAAAAACTATTTTTAATCATATAAAATAACAATGGTCAAATTAAGTATCAAAACTAAGATTCTTTTGCTATAAAAAAATTTAAAAGTACCTACTGGCTTATTTTTTAATTTAATTTATAATACAGGGTGAGTCAATACTATACTTATTTATGTTTATGCGTTTTTATTCATATCTCGAGTTCTACGAAAGCTATCAACATACGGTTTGCGCCGTTTTGTTACGACTTTAATCTAGTTCCATTATAATTTACAATAAATAGGTGTTTCCGTTAAACATTTTGAAGAAAAATAAATTTTAATTTTTTCTTTTCAAAACTACCCTCTACCCATGACAATTAAAACTAAATTCAATTGATTTATAGTAGATATAAATTAAATCATCCATACTCTTTCTAATGACACTAATTTCGTTAAAATCGGTTGATCCAAACCAAAGTTATAGGTATTTATCCACAAATACTTTCCCACTCTCCCCCACCCTTTATTTGAAAAAATAAAAAACAAAGTACTTGAAAAACTTTGTGCGGAATTTAGGCCTCTTTCTACTTTTCTTATTTAACACTTGGTATAATTGGGCATATTTCACAAAAAACTGGTTTTCAAATTTTTATTCATAGGTTACGCCCCCTAGCGGTTAACCCAGAAACTTGAAAGTTATTTCCAGCGATTTCTATTGACCACTTTTACTAAGGAATTTTTTCTCCTAAAGTTATAACATGAATAGTTTCTGATATATAGCCGAGAGATCGGCGTATTGGACCACCCGGTACAGCTTATGTAACACTCCTAAGTTATTTTAAAAAGTGTTTCATGTGTATAAAACAATTACTTATCCATAGTTAGTCACTTGCACCCCTTGACTTCTAGGCTCCTCAATTAGAGTATACAGAAGCATTATTAAATCTCAAAGAAACCAGCGCTGGCCCGGACGATATTCCGAGTATTTTTATCAAACACTTTCCAGTTAGCGTTCATAAACAACTTCTAGATCTGTCTAAATATTATTTAGACAGCACTAATTATTTAACTAAAGCACAAATCCCCTGAAAAATGGTATGAATCATGCGCCCTATTTAAGTTACTAGAAAAAATTATTAATAGACACCTAGCACCTGCAGAGACAAGATTTAATTATTCCAGAACAAAGTGGTTTTAGAGAGCAAAGTTCAACCATAGATAATATCACAGATTTGGAAAGTAGCATTTCTCAAGCATTCGCACTAAGGAGTAAATGTCGAGCAGTTTTCTTTGATATATCAAGAGCTTTCGATGCAGCCTGGCACTATTATATAACAAAAAATTACATAGTTGGAACATCAAGGTCACTGCCTCGTCTTTATTAAAAACTTCCTTCAAAATAGAACTTTCAAAGTTAGGAAAAACAACACAACATCAGATATATTGTATCCAGAAAATTGCATTCGTCAATTCAACACATGTGACTTACTTGCCTATATGAAACAACATATTAAATTTAAATGGGACAGACTATGTATTCAGTTTGATGAAAGCATAGGCAGTAATTTATACAAATTACAACCAACAGTTGTTGTAAGACAATTTTACAAAGATGTTACACTAAGCAGAAACACAGTGTTAACTGTCTTAAGATTAAAAGTAGATCATGGATGTTTTCCAAAACATCTACACCAAATAGGAGTTCTCCTAACAGACCGATGTGAGTGTGGAACTATGTAGTATAGCTGATTTAAATCATATATTTTTTAACTGCCCACTACATCGTAATACAAGCACGTGGCTGCTAAAGAATTGATAAAAGAGGGTTTAAGTCATCGAGCAAAAAGACAAAAGAGGGAATGTAAAGGTAGTGGGGACAAAAATATTGTTAGACAGGAAGTGTTATCTGATAGGCCACTTTAAACAAGGAAAGACAGTCTCTTTCCTTGTTTAAGAAATCACATTTAGTTTGGTTATGTTAGTGTTTGTCCCAACTGTCACACGAAATTTTATTTATATTGAAGTTTTTTACCAATTGTGTCACTTTTTAGACTATTATCGTTAATATTTAATTAAAACTTTCTCGTCTGAAAAATATTTTATAGCTATTGTTAATAACTGTCGGAAAATTTAAATTTAGCGCCTTTGCATTTCCGGATATGTCCGCCATCAGAGGCCACTTTTTTGGTCTCCTTTTCATAACGATTGGATTCCCTCTTTTGTCTTTTTGCTCGATGGTTTAAGTACACCATTAAACGTAAATATTCTATTAAGTGACGACAATATAAAATTATTATGATATTTCTTGTAAAAATTGAATCTTGAATTCTTATGTTGAATCTGTTCTTCTATTATTAGAAGCCCTTTTATGTTCTGCTATTCGAGATACGCACTTCACCTTCTAGATCATAATCATTCTTTTAATGACAAATTTAAAATTCTTCACATTTAAAATAAAGGCCTTAAGCTATCTTTGTTAGAATCTATGGAAATCAACAAATTAAAAACACAGATATAATTCTGAATGACCAACTTGAGACAAACAGTTCTCCCCTCCTCAACCTATTTCATTAGAGACCATAAAGTGTAAACGCAAGCCAAAAATAGATCACTTGAGAAAGGCAATCAGCCGAAACAGCTGTAGTGATAAGAGTTAAAATAAATTTTGTGGAAGTTTGAAAACAACGTTTTCAGTGTTTTATTGTTACATAAAATGAATTTCCATCAAGTAACGGTGGAATCCATCAATTATCAGTTCAAATATGTCAATAAACTGGCCCATGCAGTAAAAAAATATATTTGTTAGTCTGCTTTATTAATTTACATAATAAAGTATGTTCTTTGTGAAGAGGTCAAGAGGTCTTTTAATATATTATTTTATCCTTGCATTTACCAATGAGATTTTTACGTTCTTTTTTTATCACTATTTCTTCAAGGAAAGCATGTTTCTCTACAAAATCTAGTGTTTATTTTTTCGAGTATTTTTTCATTTCTTTTATTCTCTTTTTTTTAGTACTGACCCCACGGTCATTGGGAGCGGAGTGGTCATTGTGATGTCATGTATTGTTCGTCTCCAAAGATCTCTGTGCGTTGTTATTTCTTTAAACTCATGCATAGGTCCTTACCTGTTCTTGGATAATAAGTCTTTCTATCTTTTCTGTGTGTGCCTTCATGACATGTCCAAAGTATTTTAATTGTTGGATATGAAGTTTGCTGGAGAGCCATTTGCTGATCTTAGCCGTTAGCTCATTTGAAATTGAATTATTTGTCCTGTGGTCGGTCCACGGAATTCTTACCATTCTTTTCAGTTCTTAACAGAACATTTCAGTGGCGCGTTTCTTCTTTCCGTTTATTGTAGGGTCCAAGATTAACATCCGTATATAAATATTGCAAATATGAAGCAGTTAATTAACCTCATTTTTAGTTTTTCTTGAAATTTGACAGTCCTTTCATATTTTGGTCATCTTTCCTATGGCGAGTTTTGCTAAATCACATCTACGTTTTATTTTTTTCTGTAGTGACCCTGTATTTGTGAATCAATAATCGCAGATTTCTTTCATTAGATAATTGTAATTTGTAATTATAATTAAAGTATTGAAGATGATATTAGTTACAAAAAGTATATAAAGAGCATTAAAAGTTTTAAAAAATTTCCCTAACAAGAACCAAAAATTATAAAAATATTAATTATAATAATTTTAGGTAAAATATAGAAAATTCTTACCGCTACACTAAAAGCAAGCCACGCTTTAACATTAGGATATTCTTCTTTTATCAACTGAACCAACATCTCAGCTTCAATTGCATTCGGAATAGTTTCAATTGCTAAGAGATCCACCCCTCCTTCCACTAAGGCTTTTATTCTGGGTCCATGCCATTCTCTCATTGTTTCTGCCGAAGTAGTTTTCGCATAGGCTCCTGTATATTCCGAACCATCATGTAGAGAAGCTCCGTAGGGGCCCACTGAACCAGCTATAAGAGGTTTTCCTAAATATCAAGAAACAATCGTTAGTGCCATATGAATGGAAAAATACTAATAACTGAAACTGTAAATGTTATATCTGCAAATTGGTACTATTATCTATATTGTTATGATCTGCTTTATGATGTTTTATTATTAATTAACAGTAATTTAATTTAATTTAATTTTTTTTTAATTATTACTTTAATCAGTTTACTTGATATATCTCTTCTAGTGGGTTCAGTATCTCCTAGTTGCTCATAATCGGGATAGAACAGGAAACGAAACTAACATTAAAACAACATAAATATTCATTGTCAAGATGGCGCTGTAAGTGTAGGTTGTGTTAAGTTGGCTCCTATATACAATTGTGAAAAATAGTGATAATTGTTTGTTAATAGTTAAAATTCATCATATTTATTGTTCATTAAGTCACGATGAATGAAAATTTAAGAAAAACCCGTCGACAACAGAAGCCCAATACGTCGGATCCGGAACATCTTGAAAGTCAGGTTAAGCAGCTAGAAACCGACGTGAAAGGTGGCCTTGAGGAGATCAAATCGCTTATTGATCAAAATGCGGAAGCGGGTTCTACATCTAATCCCAACAATAATAATCTCTTGGACAGAATTAAAGTGCTCGAAGAGAATTTTCAAAAATCCCTTAATGATATTAAAAGTGAAATAGAAAAATTAAGACATAAGTGTAATTCCTCCGAGAAAAGGATGGAACACAATTATCAGAATTACTTGCTAAACGGTCTCGTGTTTAATAATATTCCTGAGAGTGAGACAGAACAACTACATCAACAGGTAGTAAAAATCATTAATAATAAGTTAAATATACAAATAACCGAAAACGACATTAATTATTGTTATCGGATTGGTAAAAAACAAGATCCAATTATCGGTCGAACTAAAGTACGACCAACGGCAGTGATGTTTATAAACAGATGGAAACGAGATTTAGTGTTTAAAAATAAATCAAAATTAAAGGGCAGTGGATTAGTTGTAATGGAACTTTTAACAAAAGAAAATCAAGCTGTTTACAAATATACGTGTAATAAGTTTGGTTACAAGTGCTGCTGGTCGTGGAAAGGCCAAATTTTTGCAAGTGTAGGTGGTGTAAAGAAACATATTACCAGCTTGGATATGGGAGATTAAAATTTAGACCAATCAACCTGTGAGTAAAAATATATTTGTTGCTTTATGGCTATTAACAAAATGTTGAGTTGTGGGGCCAACTGAGTGCTAATTTTGACAAACAAAAACACAAACGTAGAGTTCTAGTTTTCTTTTTATTTTGTTTTCTTTTTAATTAATTGTTTTCTGCTATTGTTATTGTAAAAATAAATGTAAAGTTCTACAAATTTAAATATTATGCCTCTATCTATTAGTATGAAATAATTATTACTATAATATTACATTCATAAATAATTTGTTCCTTGTATTATATATTATGATTACTTTTGGTCATATTAACGTAAGATCACTAACTGCACATTTTATTGAATTCAAAAATTGTGTCCTTTTAAAAAATTTTGATATCTTAGCAGTTAGTGAAACTTGGCTTACAAATTTCATTACCGATAAGGATATAGGTATAGATGGGTATAATGTGATAAGAAGAGATAGAAATGGAATTGGGGGAGGTGTGGCATTTTATATCAAATCTCAAATTAAATATAAAATTCTACAAACAAATAGAAACAATATTGAACACATTTGCTTAGAATTATTCTTACGTAATAAATCATATGGATTGTGTGTCGCATACAAACCACCTAAATTGAATGTCAGATATTTTGTTGACGAGTTTGAGAATATACTATCTAATATTATACCTTTGGTTGAAACATTATATTGTGCTGGTGACTTTAATGTTAATTTATTAAATACGGATTGTCCTGATACTAAGATTGTCTCTGATTTTTTTGAAACAATGGGGTTATATCAAGTCATAGATCAACCGACTAGAATCACATCTAATACTGCAACCCTTGTTGATTATATGTTAACCACTAAACGAAATTCGATTCGTGATATTGCCGTAGAATATGTTGATTTCAGTGACCATGAGTTGTTGATATCCAAAATAAACATAGAAACTAAAAAGAAAGAAGTTGTTTATAAAACTGTCAGAAACTTTAAGGCAATAGATCATACCATATTTTATGAAGAATTACAGTCTCTACCTTGGCGAAATATTTTTGATATTGAGAGTATTGATGATAAAGTTGAATTTCTTACTAATAATATAATATGCTTACTGGATCGTCATGCTCCCTACGTAACTTATAAAATTTCGAAAAATTATGCACCATGGATGACTGATACTTTACGTATTATGAAAAGAGAAAGGGACAAAATACTGAGTACGTATAAAAAATACAAAAACATGCAAACTTGGGAGGAATACAAAACGATTAGAAATATGTTTACGTTAGCTGTTAGAAGAGAAAAAAAAAGCCTTTTATTCAAACAAATTGGATAATAAAAACGGGAGAGATCTTTGGGATTCTTTAAAAATGATAGGTCTTGGTAGAGATACTGATAATACTAAGCAACTATCAGGAAATTTAAGTGATATTTCTGCAATGAATGAATACTTTATAAATTGTATTCCTAATATGAATCCTGATTTAACAATTAACAACTTTTATAATAATAATGTTCGTGTAAACATCGGTGCAAATTTCTCTTGTGTCCAAGAAAGTGACGTTTTAAATGTCATTAAAAGTATCAAGAGTGCTGCTACTGGATGCGACAAAATAAATATACTAACAATTAATATGTGCCTTCCGTTTTTATTACCGTATTTGACGCATATTATCAATGTTTGCATTATAAGAGCAGAGTTTCCATCGATGTGGAAAGTTGCTAAAATTGTACCGATACCGAAAATTAATAATCCGACAGGTTTTAATGAAATACGGCCGATTAGTATACTACCTACTTTTTCAAAAATCCTAGAGAAAATTTTAAATCAGCAACTACAGGTTCACTTAGATAAACATAAAATTCTGCCAGAAAATCAGTCCGGTTTCAAAAAGGATCACAGCTGCACTAGTGCCCTTTTAAAAATAACTGATGACATATTTGGTGGTTGCGATAATGGCTTAATTACAGTGCTGATTCTTTTGGATTATTCCAAAGCTTTTGATACACTTGACCATTCTCTGTTGATTTCAATGTTTAAGTATATTGGTATGTCTAAGCGGGCATCTGATATGCTATTCAGCTATCTCAATAATAGAAGTCAAGCTGTTCATTACAATGGTAAGACTTCAAACTATCTTAAAACAAATAAAGGGGTACCACAGGGCTCTATATTGGGTCCCAAATTATTTAGTATATATACTTCAAACTTTCCTGCTCATTTTCTCTCCTGTAATCAGCACTATTTTGCTGATGACACTCAGATCTACTTATCTTTTAAGCCTGATGAGTTTAAACAGGCAGTGGCTGCAATTAATTATGATTTAGAAAGAGTTTCTCAATTTTCTTCTAGCCATTGTCTTCGGCTTAATAACAATAAATCTGTAGGTATAGTTTTTGGTCCAGTGACACAAAGAGAAATATTTCTGAGAGATTTTGCTCATATGATCACCATTGATAATTCTTCGATAGAATTTAAGGCAACTGTCAAAAACTTAGGCTTACATATAGATCATAACTTAAGATTTGGTGATCATGTGAACAAGTGCTTGCAGAAAAGTTATATAAATTTGAAATTTATATTTCAATCCCGTCATATATTGACCAAAGACTTAAAAAAATTGCTGTGTGATACCTTGGTGTTATCACATTTTAACTATTGCGATTCTATTTATAATTCTTGTATTACAGAACGTGATAGTTATCGAATACAAAAAATGCAAAATTCTTGCCTTCGTTTGATACATGGTATCCGCAGAAATCAACCAATAAGTTACAAACTTAAAGAAACAGGTTGGTTAAGTATGAAACTCAGACGACATTTTCATTCAGCTTGTCAATTCCAAAAAATTATTATTTTTAAAACCCCACCATACCTCTATAATAAAATAAAATTCCGTACTGATGTACATAATATTAACATCAGACATAAAAACACCATTTCTATTCCTTATCATCGTACACAGAACTATAAGCGATCTTTTTCATATCATATAGCTCAAGTTATGAATAATTATAAAACTGCTCTTAATTTTACTCAAAACAAATTTAAAAAGTTCGTTTTTGAGAAATTACGACATACTCCATAGGTAAGGTTTGATAATATAAATAATTATGAGTAGAACTTACATTTAGGGCGCATATTAATTGAATGCTAGATTAATTATTTTTATATTTTCCTACATTTAGTTAACTAAAATTTATTTAATTTACATTATGATTTTGATTTCGTTTTTATATAAATATTAGTACTATTAATTGGTTACAATTCTAGATATTTCTTATTATTTGTTTGCCCAGGTTAGCTGAACAGACAGGACGTGTCAGTGCTTCGCACTGTACATTTCCTGAACTGAAACTCGCCTGGAGCTTTTTGAATATTAATTTATGTAAATAATATTATGTGATGAATAAAGGCCTTTATTATTATTATTATTATTATTATTATTATTATTATGTACACAAATTATTATTTATTTTCAATAAGCAATACGATGAATACTAATAAATAACTTTTGTGGACAATTATCTTTCCCAACAAACTCCTATACTCTAAATTTAATTTTAATTACAAACTATCTATTGATCTGTTTTATAATAATATCTACTAAAAAAATGACCATATAAAAATATAATTTATTCACAAAAAAAAATAACTCTTTGAAACTTGGAATCTTAGTTCGTACGCTTATATTTGATTTTATCTTTAGAATATCTTAAAATTTTCTTTCATTCAAATTATTTGACTGACCTTTATTTTTACACCAATGATGTCTCCTCTCGATCAAACCACAGTTCCTTCCTTGATTGATTATGTCCGGCTACCATCAAATCTTTCCCGTTCTCAGCATCTATCCAAACCGCATACCAGCAAACTACTCCTCTGAAAACACAAGCCCAAGCCTCTTTTGACCGGTACTCTTTATTCTCAAATTCTCCTTTCTTTCTCAATTATATTTCGTGGACTATGCAGACTCAAAAGAGGTATTAATCTTCTCGATTTTGATCTGCTCTCAGCTTCCACCTTTTTCACTAACAAACGAAAACACTGGTACTCAGATTGACTACACGAAAACACGTCTTCTCTTCTGGTCTGCCGGTAATATAATAATCTTTCAATCTCTCCCAGACAACCTTCTCAACTCTCTCATTCCCACCATTCTTTTTTAACCAATCATAAGAATTCATCTTTCCCACTTATTTTCGATTTAGAAAATTTCCAACATGATATTTAAAACAAATAAACTACTTTCACTTAAATTACTTTTCAGAAACCATTAACAATTTTGCCTTTTTCAACAGAAATAAGTTTCCAAATTCTTCTTATCTCTTATCTAAATCTAATTCTTATTTACTTTCGAAAAATGCCCACCGCAAAATACAATTACAAGTTTATTCCTAAATCTATAATTATACGGGTTCCATTGTCCTTTCACTATTCACTCAGTCTTTCACGGAAAAACTAGTTAGGGTCCCGTCACGGAACAATGTTTTCTCTTATTCTAACTATTACAAATACAAGTACAGGGTTGTATTTTAACTTATATGCCCGCGGTGTATTAAAATAATAAAAAACTCTTTATTCTATTTCTGATCGATAAACTGATCCATAACAATATATAGATTAATTTTTTCGCAAAATTGCCAAACATATTGGTTGCTGTAATTTTAAGATTTAATAAGCATAATAATTTAGAGCTTAAGAAAGAAAATCTGAATTACCAATTGACATGAATACACTTATATGACAGATAAAATGTAAAATATTTATTTGCAAGTAAAGTACCAAATAAGAAGTTATCGGAAAGATAAATTGTAGTTTGTTATATATTATAGGTTATTGCAAAATCAAAAACCTAACCTTAATATTGTTTTTTCATGTTTATTGTGGGTGATAGACATGGATTGGTATTATTTAATGAAATCGAAGAGTATGATGTTTATGAACTTAGTGCGAGAATATAATATTTGGGGGAACGACCATTTAAATGATTGTAAGGATCAGTAGCGCACCTAGAATTTTACACGGGGGGGTGGGGTTTGGTTGGGCACCGAATTTTTTATGCTACCTCTACCATTTTAAGTCCTTAAAATTTGTGAATAACAGTTATTTGAAGATTCTGATTATACAGTGAAGCCATTTTTAAGAAAATTTAAAATGGCTTCACTGTCAGTGGTCACTAAAAAATCCATTAAGAACATTTCTACAATGAATTCAATATTAAAAGTGCATGTAAAGTTAAAAACTTTTCCAAAAATTCAATAGGATTTATAGTAGATAACTGATACTTACTTGCTTCTGGATATTCTTTTAAATATCTTTCTACAGCTGTTTTGGCCATCTCCACTGATTTTTTAATTAAATTGTATCCTTCTTCTTTGGTCATATTTAAGTGAGTGGCAAACAAGTTAACGTCTGCTTGATATGTGTTAGTAATAATTACATCAGCACCAGCTGCAACAAACATAAAAGACATTATTATAACCATAAGTTTTAAGCCAAATTTGTGTAGGTTAATAAACTGAACACATATGAAAGGAACATAAATTGAACAGAAGATCTTTATTTTGAGTCTCTTAAGCCGAAATACAACAGCTCGTGAAATGGCGCTCTTTGATGGTTTAATGTCGGCAAAGGGAAACAAAAAAATCGATATTCACGATCAAAAAAGAGAGAATACGTAGTTGGCATCTCACGGTACTGTGAAATTAGTAAATATTTGCTTTTTACATCATCCAGAAGCTGTGCGGCACAACATGGGAGCATCGGCTTCCACCTTGCGATAATCTGTCCTGGGCCTTGTCTTCTCAACCGCGGAATACTGCTCTTCAGCCTGGCTTAACAGTCCACAAGTACACAAAGTAGATGCCAATTGAACAATACAATGAGAATGATTGCTGGCGTTATCAAATCTACCCCAACGCAATGGCTCACAGTACTAAGCCACAGTCCACCACCCACATTAAGGCGCATACACTCTCTCACTAGGGAGTACAGAAAGACATTTAGTAACGGGATCCTGCCAATCCTTTAAGATGAATTCAACTTAACGACCACCAGGTTTTGACTTACCACGCAATATATATAATTTCAATGTAAATGTGTCAAGTGTAGGGATTGCAATCCAGCAGCATTTTCAGTCCAGCTGGATTTTTGCAAGATTGGCCTGAATCCAGCTGGATCGAGCAAAATGTGGAATCAAAATAATAATATGAGTTTAATGTTTCCTTTTTATTCATCTATTACTTAAGCTTTTATTATTTTATAGTTTATTTTTATGAACGAGAGAGTAATTAGCATAATTTTAACTGGTACCTCCGACCACTCCATGGGCGTGCTCAAGATTAATTAAAAATTACTTTGAATAATTGTAAAAAATAAATGAATTATTTCAGTGTTATAAAGTGTTATGTGTATGTAAACAAAAGTGACCTCTTTTATCACACACTATATTAGAACTGACTAGCCTACATTAAAAAGGGTTTTAAAAAATTCACATTTTTTTTAATTTTTAAAAATTACAAAAGAGAAAAAGAGTTTTTAAAACCGTCTAAGGTATGTTAAATAGATGAATAAAAATATTAATATAAAACTTACAGCTACTTGTTACAAATCCAAATCAGATTCAGAAGATGAACTTTCAGAACCAAGATTTATAATAACTGGTTCGATCATTTTATCAGTAATATTTTCCAACTTCCACATTTTTTCCTCTTATTTAATAGTGTGATTTACTGCCTTTTCCCAGTTTTCAGGTTTTACATTATTTACGGCCTCCAAAAACAACTGTTTAACATCATAAATTTTAAAAGTGTTATTTTTTCTTGAAACTTCACTCTTTATCTGTGCACATACCAGTTCAATCGGGTTTAATTCACAATGATATGGTGGGGATCTAAGTACTGTCATTCCACGATTTTTGTCAATTTCATCAATTTCGTATTTTTTAAATTTTTCTTTATGAAGGGCACACAACGAATAAAGTTCCTTTCTTATAGATCCGGGATGGTACGTAATATTTTTTGAACTCAGCCAATTATGCAAGTCTTTTTTTAACCACTTGGTTGTGGGCAGTCCTTCTATAAGTCTGGAGTGATAACTTGCATTATCCATTACTATTACACAGTTCTTAGGAAGAAGATCTATCATTTGTTCGAACCATTCTTAAAAGACATCAGCGTTCATGTCTTCATGGTAGTCACCGGTACGAGTTGATTCAAAAGTTAATAAACCACCTTCAACATAACCGTCTGAACTGCCAATGTGTACTATTATCAGCCTGCGTCCCATTCCTGATGGTGGGTTTAAACCAGTAGATAAGTTATTTACAAAAGCGTGCTTTTGACTTGTAACAGTTTCATCCTGCCAAAATTTATTTGGTGTATGACCCTCGTTGATCCATGTTTCATCAAGATAAAAAATTTTTTTTTTTTGGTTTCTCATTTCCTTTATGGTTCTTAGAAAATGTCTTCTCCATATGACAATATCGCTTCTTTCTAATAAAATAGACTTTCTGGGATTCTTTTTCCAGCGGAAGCCTATTTCTTTTAAAAGTTTCCATAACGTACTTCGACTCATTTCTGGGTAATCCTTATCATCTCGAACTGAGACAAGAACTTTATCCAACGTTGGAAATTCTTGTCTAAAGAAGAATTCATGCACTTTCCGTCGAAGTCCTTCTTTAAAATGATATTCTATTTGAAATTTTGGTTTCCCTGGAGCATTACGTGGCATTTGAAAACTACCACATTTCTCTTCTTTAATAACTCTGTAAATCGTAGATTTCCCAACACCAAGTGTACTGCTAACTAACTCAACGGTCTCATCAACACTTTCACATAAACGTTTGTGTGTAAATGATTTAAAACAATTAAATATTAATGTTTTTTCATTAACTGTTAAAGGACCAATTTTTCGGCGTTTACACGGCACTTCCAAATTTTCCATAACACTAGTATATACAATAAACTGCACCTTGCAACTGAAGTACCTACTTTTAGTGAACTGTTAAGAATTTTGAATACGCCACTTGGACCTTCCTACAAAATGGAAAAACCCACTATCACATTTTCTGTGGAATAAGTTTAGAAGGTAATTATCTAGTCAATTACTGTCGTAGATTCCTGGAATTAAAGAATTAAATGTTTGATTGTTGAAACCCTTACTTCGTGGAATGCACTCATTTCAGATAAAATAAAACGTTTTATTTTATCTAAAGAATTAAACTTTATTTTGCAAATAGGTAGGTACTTATTAAACTTTTATTGGTTATATAGTTATATATAACCAATAAAATAAACATCTTATATTTCTTGCAAATTCATTAGTACCTGTTAACCTCCATCACTTCGACACTGGCAACCTTATTTAGGGAATAGTAACCCTCACAACTATTGTATTCTATTCTGCTCCAACCTTTATACCTGGTGGTCATACTCAATTTAAAATTGTTTTCCTATATACTTCTGTAAACTTGTTGACAAATATCTGTTTTTCATTGAGTCACCCGTATCAACAGTTTAGGGATTTGCATACATAATTTATTGTTTTATTACTCTCTCATACATAAAAATACACTATAGGTGTATATAATCAAAGAAGGACGAACAATCAGTCGCAATTCGCAATCAATCTTACCTCTCTGTAATTTAAAATGTCTAGAACAAATGCTACAATTATCATGAGATAATTGTAGCATTTGCTTGTAGATAAAAAACTCGTACTCAGTAAGCCGTGGAAGTCAAACATAGGGCTTTGCTTGTGGCGGCTGAGAATTGTCACGAATGAAATTTTATCGAAATGAACTTATTTGTTGTAAGAGTAGTTCATTTGAAGCAAATTTCATTGATGTTAATTTTGAGCTGACACAAGTTAGGTAATATGTTTTTCTTCCATGGCTTACTGAGGACGAGTTTTTTTTTTGGACATCACGATAAAAATCGGTCTGTATTCTAAATTTCTAAACAACAGAAACATGAAATATTTAGTTTTTTGGAATAGAAACCTTAAAAAACATATTTTATCTATAGTCTTATCGCCTAACCTACTTTGCACAGATTTGCACATACAGCCGGTTGCGGAGAAAGCCCTTTCGGCCTCTATGCTGGTCGGTTTTAAGGTCATCAAATAGTCATAAACCATGGACAAATGATTGCCTTTGACTCCTTCGGTCTTATAAACGGTCATTTCTTTTTTCAAAATCTTTTCGTAATCTTTTTGAACACCTTTTTTTTGTTCTAAAAGTTTTCTCTCTCTTGTTTCAGTTCAATCTCAAGTTCTTATTCTAAAGTAAAATTCACAGGCTCCGGATTATGGCATATATTCTACTTCCATTATATCCTCTTGCTTGTGTATTTATATGATTTAACAAATTTTTCATCCCTTGTCACATTGCATTCTTTTTCGGCTTGGGGAAATAACCAGCTGTGGAACCCTGTGTCATGTTGCTTGCAACATGTAGAAACGGATATTTCATTGCGACTTTCATTACTACATCTTATTATTTTGGTACTCTGTGTCAGTGTCGCTTTTGCTTCGGATATTTTCGAGATATTATTGTTCACTCCAAAAACATTCATTGTTATTTGTGTTTCTAATATTGGCAATAGTTAAGGTAGATATACAGATTCAAGATTCTCTCTGTAAAAGTGTATTGTTATTGGCTACACGTTTTTAATTAAAAAATTATATCCAATGGCAATGCAAAATTTTTAAGTTTAGACTTTATAATTTTAGTGACATTTTTGTCTTGGTATTACTAAGTATTTTGCAATTTAATCTATTTTAAAAGTAATTTATTTAGTAGGTAAGGTATACTGAGTGATAATGTTGCCTGTGAACAATATGAACGTATTAGCTTTTGAGGATGAGGAGAGGTTAAGAGTATTAAGAAACTTTAACATTAATAGGCGTTTACTTAGAGATTAAAGTGATCCTTTCAATGAACTAACAGATTTTCAGTTTAAAGGATTGTATCGTTTAACCAAAGATATAGCAAGAGATATAATATTATTAAATGGAATCATGCAAAATATGGTCATCCATAATAATGTTGTGGCAGTTCCAGTTGCAATAAAGTTTTTTGATACCCTCCAATTTCTTGATACTGGTAGCTACCAAAACACTATAGGGCAAAATTTACAATTAGTGTCTCAACAAATAATGTCTAGGGCAATAATTTTGAAATAACTGAAGCCATTATTGAGACATTTGCAAATAAAATCAAATTTCCTAACTCCATTAAAGTGAAAAACACCAAAAAAATAAGATTTATACGATACGGTTATAAAATATACGACACGATGTTTACATATAAATAAACCGCTAACTCTAACCTAAATTTTGAACGCTTTTACCGATTAGTTGTATCTCTTTCTAACCAATGCGTCCAATTATCAAGCGACGTGTGTCTCTCTCTAAAACAACACGTCTGAAGGTGTTGAGTGGAAGCGAGG